ACTTCATGTAAAATTAGTTGAATCTGATGGGTCGAGAAACATTTGTTCAAAAACACTACTACCCGCTGAATAATGAAGCCACGCCCTCCAGCGTAGCAACAATCAACATTGCTTGACGACGGGTGGTATTCCAAAAAAAAGCGACTGCGCAGAATTTATGCGCGCACGGTTAACTGTTATATGCATTTGTATAAAACATTCAGTATAATATAATAAATGTTGCATGTAGTTGAGTGTAACATTGAAAATTTTCACCCCTCGAAAACCATTGTCAACCTCGGCTGTGCCTCGGTTGACAATGGTTTTCGAGGGGTGAAAATTTTCAATGTTACACTCAACTACATGCAATATTTATATAATATTCACCTTCAGCGATATTTCTTTAGTGTTTAAACATTTGATCTGTAAGAACTCTAAATTAATTTTGGATGTGGTTCATATGCATAAAAATTCTTATTCTGCTAAGTATATGCTCAAGTGCCGATTTACCTTAAGCAGAGTGACGTTTTTTATTTAGTACGTCACTTAACGTTGTAAGTGGATTGCATGACGTTTCTTATTCTTACTTATATGTCATAGAATATGCTTTAAGTTAAACAACCCCTCACCTTGTCTAAAGTTTTTAAGCATTTTGCTTACCACAGCAAAATGGCTGCAAGACAGCAAAGACAACACCGTGTTTTTAAGCCGAGATTAGATCCCTTTACGGAATACAATGCTTTAGGACTTATCACACGCTACCGTTTTGATAGACAAGGAATTGAATATATCGGGACACTGATTGACGATTTCGTTTCACCAGCAACAAGTCGAAATTGTAGCATACCAACTAATTTACAAGTCATGATTGCTCTTCGCTATTTCGCAACAGGAAAAATGCAGTTATGTAACGGGGATGACTTCGGAATTCACCAATCCACTGTGTCTAGGATTGTTCAAAGGGTCTCTACAGCCTTAACTCGACCGCATATCATTCAAAGATATATAAAATTTCCTACCGACGCTCAGACAATTCACCGGCACCAGACAGACTTTCACGCAATCGCCAATTTTCCGGGAGTGCTCGGCGCTATCGACGGGACCCATGTTAGGATATTGCGTCCTACAGTTAATGAAGAAGAATTTGTTAATAGAAAAAACTTCCACAGTGTTAATGTGCAACTTGTTGTGGACGCACATTGTCATATACTGGACATAGTCGCCAAGTGGCCAGGGTCAACACATGACGCAAGAATTTTGCGAGAAAGTGGCATTAGCCAATTATTTCAAACACCCGGACTAATTCCTGTTAAATGTCACCTACTCGGCTATAGTGGCTATCCGTGCAAGAACTGGATCCTGACTCCCTTCCTTAACCCTGCAACCAAACAGGAAAGAAGATACAATGGGTAAATATGTCTTATTTAATAATCATGTAATACTGCGAACTTTTTTCTCATGATTTTCTACATCGACATATTTCCAGGTTGATTTACAGTCAATTACCGAATTATCGCCATTCGATAAAACAAAAAACAAAACCAGAAATAAAATACATTTTCAAGTTAGAACCTACCCTCCCCCTAATTAGGCCATTTCAAGTTTATTCACTGTTTAGCGTCCACTCATCTTTCAAAAACCTACCTACCTATTCGCAAAAAACACACAAGCCAAAACAGAAAACACAAGCTTATAAAAGTCAAAAAATGACGTCCTTCAAATGATTTGATCTAACTAAACTTCTTTACTAGAAGAAATATCTATTCCTAAGCAAAAACAACGGATTAAATGCTTACAATGCACCCAATATAAATTACTGTACCGAATTATTTGGAGAAATTTACAAAATTCAAAAATTTCGTCTAAATTTATCAATTTCAGGACTCCTGTTATTGTGTGTTTTTTCTCATATGGGGTGTCAAAAACCGAGGCGCACGCGGACGCTTAATGTAGAAAAAAAAAACTTGGAATGGCCTTATTTCATACATCTTCATTAATCAATTATTTATTTATTTTTCAATCATAGATCACACAAGGTGACGAGATGCATTGTTGAGAGAACCATAGGACAATGCATGGAAAAGACGTTTTCATGTACTGTAGATCACTAAATTTTCGCGACACCTTATTTTCGCGAGATAGTCATTGACTTTTGATTAGCGAGACAAAATTTTCACGAAGTTTGGTTATTGCTCTATGTAATCCTGAAGAATACTATTATATGCGAGAATTAAATTTTTGCGAGCACACTGTCTCGCGTAATTACGCGAAAATAAAGTTCTCGCGAATAAAAAGTTATTTACAGCATTACATTCTGAGATAAGGTTGTGTCCAGAGAGGGCTTGCAAGATTATAATGGCCTGCGCAGTACTTCATAATTTAGCAAAATTGCTCAACACGCCAATCATTGACGAGGATCGTGAAAGTGGCGATGATTCTGATGAGGGCAGTGATGAAGATGATGCCGACAACAACAACAACTGTGTCCCTGACAATCTAGATGGTAGAGCATACAGAAATCACATTACAGTGAATCATTTCTAGAGTGAAGACTTATTTATTATTTTACCATTATCGAATATAATTTATTTTCAGTATAAACTTTAATGTTTGAAAATAAAAAAAATGTTTTATAAGTCTTTTTTATTGAAGTCTTTCAATTGTTGCTTCAGAAGGGCATTCCTCAGACGGAGGTTCTCAACTTCGAGTTGAAGTTTCTCTCTAGCTAGGTTACATGTAGCTGTAGTTTCTCTTGGAGAATTTGGCGGCATCGGGAAGGCCGAGATACCCAGTGACACGTCTTCTTGGATAATGGACTGACTCGTGCACGTTGAGAGCTGTGGGTCGAGTTGAAAATCCTCCACCACTGGGCTGTTTAAAAATAATTTTTAAAGAATTATACTCGTCATTTATGAGCATCAAATTATCGATTTACCGGTACTATTTTTTTAAAAAAAATCAGTTATGAACAGGCAATATCGAGATTCGTTAAAAAAACAGTAATAAAGTTGACTGACACTTCAGAAAGCCTTACCCTTGCAGTGAACTCGATGGAATGTCTTCCATGCCCCTGTTGAAATTGTTAAACGTCATCAAAGAGGAATCAAAGGCCCCAGATATTCCGCAGATAGAAACATTTTCCTCACCAAGTACCTCCTCAACAGCTTGTGACAATGCACTTAATGGTTTTTCTGCCGGCCCTCCACCTATGTAAATTGAAGCATTTTATTTTTATTTAAAATTTGTTTTTTGTTGCTTTCAAAAAGATATATCCGTTATTTCATGTATTTAATATCAATTCTCTGTAATTATCAAAATTGGTTGGCCACGCATAGAAAAACATTTTGATTTTTTTATAATAATTTTAAACAGCTATGTCATTAATTGTAAAATCTAAAGTGGGTTTATGAAATAGACCCTTGGTTGCCATAGAAACGGGGTGCAAAATTCTCAATTTCTTTAATTTTGAAAAACGTGTACTTATCAAGAAAAACTGTGTCCAGAAATGAAAAGGGATAACTTAATATGTTTTCATTATTTAAATTTAATACTAAAGATTAAAGTAATTATATCTGTAGTTTTAATTTAATCTCTCAATTGTAAATGGCCATTTTACATATTATAACATATCAGATATGTGATTGGTTTAGTGGAGTTTTTGGAGGCTTAAAACAAAAAAGGCACACTGATTACAAATTTAGTAATAATTAATTATGAAAGGCTGATATTTGATTATATCAAAATATGTAAAATATTGGTGGGAGACTCAAAGATGTAAAAGGAATTCAAAGGTAAAGATTACTTTTTTCTACATTTTGAAGCATTTTTTGCTTCCTAATTACTTCCCTTGAACTACTCTCTAACGTTTGGAGGTACAATGTGTATTTAGTAAACAGCAATGAACATTTTCTGGCGAAAGATCTCATCAAAGTTTTACAGTCTGGAAGAAGAAAAGAAGGCTAGACATCTTAAACAATGAAGACAGAAGGTAAATTTATGCATTACAAAAATATCAAGATTAACAAATGCATATTTTCTTAATTTTATTTGCCTTACAATACACAGTTGTTTTACCGGTAGTGGTCAGTGGTCCCTAGGCCAAACAAAAAAATATCTTTGTTTACTGTTACATGCTGAAAAAAATAGGGTCGGTAGGTAGGAATTTTTTTTTATTTTATTGAATTTTTTTATACACAAATTCACATGAATTGGTTGAATAACAAAACAGTTTTACTATTGTATGGTGCCTTACTTTTGTTTGGCTTGTAACATGGGTGGTTTTTTACCAACTGCCTTACAACTCAGGGGTGTGCAATTAAAAAAAATCAAGTACTAGCCCACAGGCTTGTAACAGCAATAAACATGATAAAGTTACTAGCCCGAAGTTAATAGTGAGCAGTCCAAATATAGGGGCAAAAAAGTGTAAACAAATATTGTAAAATGTTCATTGTTGAAAAAGTCAGGGTTCTAAGCCATCCCTTTTAAAGCTGAAGTTTAAAAATTTTAAGAAATTATCTTTTCTTTTCTGAACATATTGTACTATAGTGTAGCTTATCTAAAATGAAGCAAAATCATTTTATTTTCATTTCAAACCATAAAATACAATTGATATATATAAAGTTTAACCACATAACACTTAGCAGTTAGTTGATTGGGGGACCGTAAATAATGGAAAGAGATATCTGCATGTATTTACCATTAACAGAGGAATAGAGGAAATTCGGATTAGGAAAAAAACGATCGTTTTTTGAAGTAAATAAGTCAGGTAGTACTTCAAAATGGATAAGGTTAAAGTAATTTAAGAACAGCTGAAGCATGCTGCCTGAAAAATTTTCATTAGTTGGAAATTAAAAAGTAAAACAATGAGTGAAAATACCGTTTGTATTTCTCATGTATTATATGCATAATTTTAATTTTTACTACCCCAAAAACGGTAGCACCGGGCATCAGGCGATGCTAGTTGCACACCCCTGCAACTGCCACGAAATGGTAAGCAAACTGCAACGAACTCGTTGGTGTAGAAATTGAACTCGCTGGTTTTGTTTTTGTACTTTCAATTTCGATTTCAAAGACGAATGTAAAAGTTAAACTGACCGGCCAGTAACTTCCGGATTTCTACGACGAAAAAAAAGTTTGGGTCGGCGATGAAAATTAGGGTCGGTCGGGTAACCGTAAACAAACATAATTTTTTGTTACGCCTTATCAAATCAAGCGAACTATACCTTTTGACAGTTTGACTTTCTGACCAATGAATTAATTATTTTTATTAATAAAAATGAATTTGAAGCATATAAACATCACTTGCTGATACAGCTGACCCCCCCCCCCCCCCCCCCCCCGAAAATATAAATGTCTATATAGCAGTGTATAGAGATTGTATAAAATCTGTGCCTTTCAGTAAATTAATTTTTATGATGTGCTGAGAGAGACTTTTAAGTGAACATTATTTATCTTTATGATATAAATTTCTACTTCTGTTAGTTTTCATTCATTGTTTATCCTATTATTTCAATTCTTTATTGGCATTAGGCACATATTTTACAGAATTGTGTTGTTAAAATATTTAACTAGAGCAAGTTTGTTTCTATAAAAAAAGTGCACGTTTATAATGTGTGAGCACAAGCCTAAAGTAACAAAATGAATAGTATTCTATATATCAGCAAAATATGGTCATGTGATGTTCATAAGCAGAAAATAGGAAAACAGCATGTTTGTTTTGATGTCATTGTTTTATTTAATAGCTTCTATCTTTTAAACTTTAAATTTATTATATATATCCACAACTGTACTATATGTATTGAAAAATAGATCTAGGTTAAGAATGCACTGGAAATATTGAGTTATTTTTGTTTATATAGACTCTTTCATTCATCTGTGAAGTACCGGTACTGTATAATCTATAGTTCAATTTTTGGGAATAATAATAATCTTTTCAAATAGCAAACAGTAAAAAATATATATGTACACTTGTACATATGTATTAGTGTTAAAACAAAATTAAACTAGAGGTACTGTGAGCAATGAGCTCACTAGATGATACCCCCTGCCTCCCATATGGTTATAACTGATGACAAATCCATGTTTTACTGTGGCCGGGAAACCCAAAATATGTGTCGAATCAAAAAGTAAAATAGGAGGTGCACAATGGCAATATGTAATAAAGATTCTGTGAAAGGTTCATTAAATTTCACTCATTGCAGTGGTATAAGAGGAGTTGCAGATAATAAGAGATGGGTTCCCTAAAGCATAACAGATAGACGGACATACAGACAGATGGACGTACAGCTAGACGGACATACCGATTACAGTATACCATACCACTTTTCAAGCGGATGGTATAATTAAACTATATACATGTACATGTAGAATTGTAGATTTATAATGATATTTGTTTTATACACACTGACCATGTTTTATAATATTCTAAACAAATTATTTGATACTCAGGCAAATATTCACTACTGGTAAGATGATCACACACATGAACATGTCTGTGTATGAATGAAATTAATTTTCCTTTTGATCATGTTCCTAGGAAAATAATTATTTTCATCATTTTTTCATCAAAGGATTTACCATATAAGATGAATAAAGAAAAAGTAAGACCAGTAAACCAAAACAGGACCAAATAGGCCATGACTGAAGTTCAAGTGCATTCTCAAAGAAAGTGGACAGCCTAGATTTTGTTCTTTTCAAGGTAACCATTCTTAAAATATGAAAGTAAATTAAGGAGATAGATAGATAGATAGATAGATATTTATTTGGTATACAGTACTACACATACGTTGCAATATTCACAATATAATTTAAGATATATATATATAAAAGATGGCATTAAACAATATAATTAATATAAAATATCGGAATCAATCATTTTTGAAAGACATGAATTAATAAATTTGATTCACATAAGATTATATTTGTATACCAAGGATAACCCATGAAAGCCAATGGCTTATTTCCAATGGGGTCCTTATACTCAAACATGTATATTTTAATTGGATGTTAAATAATATAAGCAGATAAATATAAAATTAAGATACTATAGCTAAGATATGGGATCAAGTTGACAACACAGAGATCCTTAAAAATGAAGTGTATTATGAATGTATACCAAATATTCACATGATTGTAATTGGAACAACTTATACTAATAATAAAAACTAATAAAACACAACTTGACTTTTACACTGGGCAATTCCCCTTTCTAATAAAAATTTCTTGACACTTCTTTTAAAAGCAAAATTATTTCCAGTATTTAAAACAGGTTTAATTTCTGCTGGTAACATGTTCCAGTCTTTGATTCCATTAAAATAAAATGATTCAGATTGCTTTTGCTTAGTTATTGGAACGACAAAATCTGCATTTGAGACTGATCTAGTATGATAGCTACTAAAATTTGACCGTAGTATAAAATGTTCATTAAGATAAGAAGGGGCTTTTCCTTGAAAAATATTAAAAACATGGTTGAGTCTAAGCTGAGAAACTCTATCTTGAATATTTAATAAATTTAATTGACTAAGTATTTCGTAATTAACAGATGCCTGTGGACCTAAATTCAAAATAAAACGAACCATCTTGTTTTGACAAATTTGTAACCTTTTCTTTAAAGTTTTGGATAGCCCTGCATACCAAGCACTACAGGCGTAATCAATATGGCATTGTATTAATGCTGAACACAGAGTCATTTTACAAAAAGTATCTAAAAACCGGGCTTGTCGGTACAGAAATCGCAATCTATTATTTACTTTCTGGACAATCGATTCAACAATGTATTCACCACTTAAACATTTGTCGATCAAAACTCCAAGATATTTAACTTTTTCTTTACAATCAATGTTATGGTCATTACATACACATGTACAACCTGGAATTTTTCAACATTTTGAAGCTTTCTTTTGGAACCAAATAAAATGCATTCAGTTTTACCTAAATGTAACGATAATTTATTATCAACAAGCCAGTGCGAAGTCTGATCTAAAACTTTACCAAGCTTTTCTGATATAAAATCAGGATCTTTATGTGCAAATAAAATGGCACTGTCATCAGCGTATAAAATAAGTTTACAATCTGCGTCAACACTAGTAACCATGTCATTAACGTAAATTAAAAATAATAAAGGGCCTAGAATACTGCCCTGTGGTACACCACAAGTGATAATACCAGCATCTGATGAAATTCCATTACTGTGAACAAACTGGTTTCTTTCAGACAAATAAGATAAAAACCAATCAACAGATTGAACACCAATTGCTTTTAGTTTTTTACATAGTATGTCATGGTCAACAGTGTCAAATGCCTTTTGCAGATCAAGCATAACCATTCCAGTATATAATCCCTTTGCAGTATTATCTCTTATAAAATCAAATAAATGTATCAAACAAGTTTCAGTGGAGTACTTACTTCTAAAACCAGATTGAAACTCATATAAGATATTATTACGATCTAAGAATTTTGAAAGTTGCATATGAACAGATCTCTCTAAAATATTTGAAACAACACTAAGAATACTAACCGGTCTATAATTACCTACTTCTAGTGAACTGTTCTTTTTGTGAATAGGTTTCACCCTAGCTGTTTTCATATCTTCAGGAACAATGGAAGAAGAAATGGATAAATTTACAATATATGTTATAGGAATCTTTAGAAAATCAGCTCCATCACGAATGAACCTAGCTGGAATATCATCAAGCCCCGTACTTTTAGAAGGGTTCAATTTTAAAAGCTCTTTGTATATAAAACTTTCACTGACTGTTTTCAGAGTAAAAAGATTATCATTTTTGGAATAAAAAGATTTAAAACGTTCACTATCCACACTAAAAATATTTAAAGGTGTGGGGAGTTTGCTTACCAGTGAAGCTGCAATATTAACAAAAAAATCATTAAAATGATTTGCAACAGATTTTGGTTCATGACAAATATCATCATCAATTTTTAAGCAGACATTCCTTCTGTCCTGACGTTTATTATTAAGCCCAAGGTCTCTTAGGCTCTGCCATAGATTTTTCGGGTTATTTTTGTTTTCTTCGATTTTACTAGATATGTATTCTGTCCTTGCAACTTTAACGTCTCTCTGTATTTCATTTCTAATTCTGCAGTAGTTTTTGTAATGTTCTTCCTGTTTTGTTTTCCTGTATGAATAAAGTAAAGAAGGACAGATGATACAAACAAAAAATGGATGCCTGGATTGGTATATATTTTTTGGCATAATTTAATTGCAAATTAATGATGCTATTAATAAATTTCTAGAATATTAAGAAATTGTAAACCTTCTGTGATGTTCAAAAGTCTGCCCTCTTGAAACTATCCTTATTAATCTATACAAATATTTTTCACTTCAAATTCCATTTTTATGCAAATATGAATTAAAAATTAAAAAGTACTTGAAGAAAGTTATTAATTTTACTGATATAAACATGACCCCAGTTGTTATTTTCAAATTCTTTGACAAAAGTTTGTATCATCTGTCCTTAAATTGTTAAAAAAATATTTCAGTTTTATATCTAAATTTAAACCTTGCTTATTTCTTTTTTTTAAAACAAAATTTAATACCTGACCAGTAACAGAAGAATTATTATACTAGAATAAAGAAAACAACTTTCTAAAGGATTACATGTACACATTTAATTAGCTTGAAATCAGTGTATATTGGAAAGTGCAGGAATTATTTACCATTGCAGGTTGAGAAGGGATGCCATATTTTAGGTTTGAAACCAGGCAAGTGAAAGCTGAATTCCAACCTACTTCAACATACTTGTACCCACTGTCTTCAAGATATCAGTGTTTGAGATGTCAAAGTTCAAATATAATAGGAACATGTTTATCGTATTATGTGATGGCATCCTCAAATCTTATGCTGTATAACAATATGTTTTATAACTTATCAAGCTGTATCCTGTGCCTTGCCAAAAAAATCAACTCAGCATAATTCTCATTAACTAATTATCAGTGTTACTTGCGTATGTCAATGTAGGTCATTACTGGTACATGCCTGACCAACAAAAACTCTAAAAGTGAAAAATCAGAGACAAGATTTTCAGAGCAGCAGAAACAGTAGAATTTGTCACATAAATCTAATGATATGTACCGTAGTTGAGAATACATGTACTCTAAATGTTGCATATATGAAAAATAAAAAAAAGCGAAAAGTTCTCTTGTTTTCAGAATTTATATTTACATGTGAAAAAAAAGAAAAGGAGATTGATATACATATGTAGTTGGTGTGATGTTGGCAGGAACCTAGTAAAATGAAAGGAAGAACTTCCTTAAAATGATACTTGTGGGGGACAGTGTCTCATGGGGGGGGGGGGCATTGTTTCAACTGACTTTACAGAATACAAAAGATCCATTGCAAACCTAATTATTAATTATATGCCAAACACTATGTTTAAAGTTTTCCATTGTTGGATATTTATGTTTAAATCCAAGATAACTTACCCAAGAGGATGTGATTTTTTTTAAACCAATGTAATTTTTCTCAAGTTTAAAGCCGTGTTTCATAAGTTTTAAAAGAAAAAATCAGAAAGGGGGGGGGGGTAAATTTTTGACTTCGTTCAAAGTATCTGTGGTTTGCAGTTGCCCATGAATTTAATAAATAATTATACAAAGTAACAAGTTGAAATGAGTAAAATATTATGAATGTCCTGCTTGTTTTAGTTTCATTTCAGAATTTTTCATGTTTGACCAAATCTTGAAAAAGTAAAAGCCACAAGGTTTTGCAATTATTTGACATAGCATTACAAAATGCATTATATTTTTGCAACATCATAAAGATGCAAATTTAAGATGCCAAAAAATTTAGTTCACATTCACATTTAACTCATTACACAGGTTTTATAAAAGAGTAAATAAGTGTAGTTTTGGGAATATTGTTACGTTAAACGCAGCCATTTTGGTTAAAAATCTGGTATTCCTGTCTCCATGGTAACAAATCTTGCATTCCTGTTTCCATAGTAATAGAGAATGGATAGGGAAAATTTTATTTCATATTATTTTCAATCTAAGGGGATAGTTTCAGGAAACTTGAAACATACCCTGGTTAGTCTACATGTACTTCAAAATTGTCAATTTTACGGAAAAGGGAGGGGGGCATTTTGTGCAGGTGTTCACAGTTCTCCTAATCTAAGAACATATTTACATGTATTAATGCTCTTGGAAATGGGATGTGAATATTTTTACATGACACTTCTCCTAGATATTGACTAATTTTACTGTAAATGACATCAAAACAGGTAGAAAGGAACATTTCTTTTCTATATGAACTTAATGAAATGTGCATATGTTCCTTGAAATACGGAAATTTTGCAGATTTTGGGTAATTTTTCATCAGTTTTTTAAAAAAAATGTTTAAGTGTCCCATAAATATTTTAATGTGTTTAAAATAACTAATGTACCATCTATACAATGCACTGTTTCCTGAATTTCAAATCAGTGTGCAAAGTATTAAAAAATCGCTTTGAAAAAGGGTCTAAAATGGTAATTTTCTCAATTTGGCAAAATGCCAAAATCCCCAAAGCTAAGCGTTGTTAAGCCATTATGTAGAATTACAGTTTTTAAAAAAATATGTTGTTATACTAGAGAGGAATAATGGTAGTTTTGAAACAAAAGTAGATTTTCCCATTCTCTTGTTTCTTTTAAGCTCATTTTTATCCAGTAAAACCTACAAAATCACGTTTTTTGGTCAAATTTTAGAAAGAATTTACATGGGAAACAATAGGTGCTGTTACCATGGCAACGAGACTTTTTTTGAAATAAAAAAATATAAAACCATTAATGATGTGACAATGTGAGTACACACAAAAAGTTTCATAGAAATTGAAAATGTAGCGTGGCCAAGCATTATTGATATTGTTTGATAATTACAGAGAATTGATATTAAAAAGTTACATTTTCTTTATCAAAGAAATACAGGGGATCACTTTAGCTGAGATGGTAATATTTTTTCACTATGGCTTGCTAATTTTTGAGCTGATTGTAATTCACTATAGTATATGATTTTTTCTGTTTCTGAACAAATCATTATTACATAGATCTACGCATTTGTTTGGAAAATCTAAAAGTTCTTCGCGGTGTGCACAATCTAATTAAAAGTATATGTTGGATCCCATGTTAGTGTAGCGAGTATGCGAGAGGATCTAACATCTACTATTTATTAGATTGTGTAAAGTATTTTCGGTAAATGAAATTGTTGGTCGGGGGGGGGGTATAAAAAAATAAATGTATGGATATACTCTCGCACAGGCCATTAGGGTACACACAGTGACACTATGACCAATAATATACTGATAAATCAAAACAAACAATCTGCATGATTACCAAGGTCGTCCGAATTTCCGTAAACTTTCTGTGCTAAAATAATTTCCAAATTTGACACAGTCTACTCTTTCAGTCTTTGACACCTGTCTTTTGTCATTCGAATTTAAACGACCCAAAAGTCCTACGGTACAGTATTATACATGTAACTTTGGTACTTAATAAAATAAATTTTTCATACATTATGAGTCTCTTGACTTGGAATATCAAATTTAGAATTTCACAGTTAGGTCTGATCTACTGCTTACATCCCGTTATAATGCCTCAATACCGACAATAGAGTTATCACCCTTATATCACTTGTATCTTAGGTACGGTAAACTAGAACTGTCTAATAGGGACAAATACCCCCCGCTGGGTTTTTCAGAGAAGGTGCCAATTTACAATACTTTATGGATCTAGAGGTGTTCAAAATTTACTTACAAAAATTTGAAGTGAAATATATATTTAATTGCTCATTATGTTTCTTAATGAATGAAACAAAAGTGCTACCAAATGAAACATCAATACTAATACACTGTAATCATGGTAATTCCATTGTAACATTTTTTTTAATTCTGCATTAAAGAAATATATTGCAATTGTGTTTCATGAAACTCTGCAAACTGATTGTTGAAAAAAAAAATCATTATACAAAATCAAATTAATCTTGATTATGACTTGATATATCAAATTCATTTTGAAAATAAAGTGCTGGTCATCCAATAATGAAGTGCTTTGACAGACAATAAATTACAATTTAGAGAATAAGAGAAGAGAGATCTTTAATTCTTGTGCCTTATTCCCTGGAGATTAGATAACACAGATGCTCGATAAGAGATATGCCTTAACAACTTCCAACACCAAACTCATTAATTTATCTTTAACTGGATGCATGTCCAGTCATTATTCCCAAGAGACAAATGAATTTACATTATCTTCTGTGCAATGTAAAAACTGTTTTAAACATAAGTTGATGTTTCTTTTTTTAGTTTTAATGAGTTGTTTTAAGCTATAGTTCACATTTTGTACAGATAGTCTCAAACCTTATACATGAGCCCAAAATGAACAAGTCAATTAAAATAAAAAATAAAACCTGTAAAATGCCGAAAAATGGACAAATAAAGTTGAAAATTCCAGGTGCATACCTTCATATGGTGAATAATAAGTGTACAAATTTTCAGATAAATCCTTGCAATAGTTTGTGAGAAACGGTCTGCACAAGACCACAAAATAAAAATGAAAAAACACCTGTAAAATTCAAAATAATCATCCAATTAAGATGAAAATATCAGGTGCACACCTTCATATGGTGAATAATATGTGTATAAATTTTCAGACAAATCCTTCCAATACTTTCAGAGTAATGGTCCGGACAAAATCTCGTCTACAGACAGACAGACAGACGGACATGGTGATTCCAATATACCCCCCCTAAACTTCGTTTGCGGGGGGTATAACAACATGGCTGACATAACATGCATACCAAGCATTTCACGAACCTGTTTTTTGCAAACTTCTTCTAAAATCAGAAATTTCTCCTCTCCCCTTCATGTGGATGTTATGCCACTTCTTTTCGACTTCTTCTATAGTCCGGACGGTTGAAGGGTTGGCCGCATTAATTGCTTCAGTAATAGTTTTCCATACTTCCCTCTTCTTTTGAGTGGTCACTCCGGCGCCGAATTTAGCCCTAAAAATTTTCTTATAATCGTTAAATAAACGCGTTAGATGTAAATATTCCTCCAGTGTCCAGTTCGGTTTACGTTTTTTCTCTGCCATACTCAGACGATGATGATGACGTAGAACGGGAGATTCAATATCGTCAAAACCCGCAATGACGTCACACCATTGTGACGTTTTAATTTAAGCAAGAAGAGATATGCTTTGCTAAGATGCACTAAGTAAGGCACGTAGAATTTTTATGCATGGGACTTAAAGTATGCTTCTTAGTTAAGCAGTTTGATTTGGGAATAAGTATAGTACTTAAGAAAAGTTCTTAGATTTTTTATGCAAGGTTTGTATGCTTAAAATTCTTAAGTCCTTAAGCATATACTTAAGTCCCAAATTTGTGCTGAGCAAGTTGGAATTAGATTAAGCAAATTGTTTAGTGTGTTGCATAAAAGTTCTCAACTGTTAAGCATATGCTTAGAATATGCTTAACTTTAAGCATGGGTTTTACTTGTCTTAAATATTTGAGCATGTTGCTTAGTTTAAGAAAGCAAGATGGATGCTCAACAAATTGCTAGAAAGAAAAGAAAATTTAAACCTCGTGTGGATCTTCTTCTAGAGAGCTAAAGAGCACAGAAGGAAAGAACATATTATCTATGGGCGATATAGGAAATATTTGTTTGAAGGAGAGTTTTGTTAAACATTGATCCTAATAACATTCTCAAGTGACACACAAGCGGAATATCATTTTTGAATATTTTTCTGGAATAAAGCCCTCAATATGGCATACACGCAATAGTTAATGCTTAATATCAAAGAGAGAGGGGGAAAAGGATTGTTCTTCGTTTTTGGACAGAACATAAATAACTTTAAAAACCAATTCAATTTGATTGAAAACAATTTGTTTTAATTTTGAAGCACTATATATTGATTCGTTTGTTTTTATTTACCAATTTGTCAAAAATAATAATCCGAGTTTAAATATTTTGTTTTGTACTTCTTTAAAACTTGCTTAATTCTTTTTCAAAAACCAAGGAGGTTCATAATGAACGAATCAAATTATAAAATACCTGCGGATGAAATTGTTTATAGCAATTCCACGGCAATGACAGACAATGAGCAAATTGTGATCAGAAAAGCTCATCTGAGACCTCGACTCAGTTAGGTGAGATTAAAATACATGTGACTAAATATTTCTTGAATATATAAGTATACACATATTTTGTATAATTTACCATCATCGATTAAAATAGAAAAAAAAATCGCATGCAATAACGTCTACGACATGACAATACTCCACGCCTGTGTTGTCAAGAGGAGGGGAGGGGTCAAGACACAAGTAGCCTGGATTTGTAGCAGGTATTTTTTATTCTTATCATGTACATAATGTTTATTGTACTGTATTACTTGTCTGATATGATCAAACGTAGCGTCTTAAAAATATTTTTTTTTATATTTTGGTACTCCTCCTTTTACAAAGAGCCGACTTACAATAATTTATGCAGTTTTTACAGAACCTTTTTGGGATGGGTTTCAATTTTTCTGAAGTATCTCCTTCATGTTCTTGTTTTTTAATCAGAATTCTCTTATTCAAGGACATAATTTACCCTAAAAGTTAAAGACTGAGTGCGTTGGTGTAGAAAATACACTGCATTTTACAAACGCTTTTGTGCTTATTGGGAGATTTTTAAAGATACATTATTTCCCTGTGTGTTGCATCTATATTTCTTATAAATTTGATATTTGTATGCATTATTTAGCAGCCAATATAACTCAAAAGGATAAGAGAGGTTCTCATGTGGAATGCAGTTTGAAAAAAAATTCAGATTCAAATCCAGATAAAAATATTTGAAGTTGAATGAAGATCTGAACTAACTCAAAACATATCAACAAATTACAACTTAGAAGACATAATATGCAACTCACTCTAACAAGTACGTGCTTCAAGTGGAGAACTTTCAGTTGTTAAAAAATTGCTACAGTAACTACACACAGTAAATTATCAGTATAAAATGTGCTGCTATACAAATAAATTATCAATAAAGCACTAACCTTTATAATTTTAAACAAAATTAATATTTTTTAGCCTTTTAATTGTAGCAACAGACTTACATTTATTTAAAAACTGAGCATATACATGTACTAATTTCGCAAAACATGTAAGATTAAACAGTTTATTGTACAAAACTACTTCATTATATACAATTTATTTTGTCAAGATGATGCAAAACTTATAAAATGTAATACGAAAAGTAAAAACAGAAATGGGAGTGAGTAACAATCCTTTTATGTACAAATATTTTCTTTTTTTTCTTTATTTTTAGAGAGCAAACAAAAATACCCTAGGAATATGTCTCATGTATAACTGATATTTAACGTACAATTATAATAAAGCAGGGAATTCCAAAAATTCTTACGGTTTATATTTGCCAATATATTCGTTCCACTTGTGAATTTCCCTGTCTACTACAAAGTCACCAGCTGGACTTTCAATGCCTTCCGGGAGAAGAGCTAAGTAAAGAGGTGTATCAGCCCCTTCGTCAATGGTTTTGTTACCTGTTTGTGAGGACATATCGGTTTTTACATGACCTGGGCAGCAGGCATTAATTATTACGCCTTTTCTCGCATCTGCAGAAAGCTGGCGTTGTAGGATTTGTGAGAGCACGGTGACACCAACTTTAGCCATCCCGTATGCACTCTTTACATAACCATTCTTTTCATGCTCACTAGTTTTTGCACTTCGAATAAAATCATTCATCAACTCCGTCAACTCTTCCTTTGTAATATCAGGATTAAGGAATTTATCTTGTTTTTCTGAACTACATTTTCTAATTGCAAAACTGCACGCATCACCAGATATATTGACTACTCTTGCATGTGGTCTTAAAAGAGGGAAAAGTGCATCTGAAACTGCAAGTGTTCCAAAGTAGTCGGTTTTGATTGTTGCCTCAGCTTGCTCGCCAAAAGGAACAGTTGATGACTTCTTGAACGCAATTCCAGCGTTATTGACAAGAACATCCAAGCCGCCATAAGTGTTCTTAATAAAGTCTGTAAACCTTTCAATGCTAGACTTGTCAGTGATGTCAAGCTGGTGGAACTTGGGAGAAAGCCCCTCATTATTAAGGCTCTGTACAGCCTCCTTACCACGTTCTTCATCCCTCGCTGTTAGAAAGACGTCACCTTCAAATTGCTTACATAGGCCTCGTACGACGGCATATCCAATCCCCTTATTGGATCCAGTTACCTATAGGAATTTTAAGATACTATTAGAAATTGGTATGATTAAATTTTTTCTATCGAAGATACCGTATAGCGGTTTATTTTAGCGGGGTGCTAATTTCGGCTTATTTTGGCATTGTGATAATAACACGCTTAAATTTTCATCGCTTAAGGTAGGATTCTTCTCTGGTTTCTGACTAGATGGAATATTCAAAGTATTTTTGTTGATATGTCTTATATACATGTGTATTTAGATGTAAGAGATTTAAAAGACAATATTTTTCTTTCCTCATCACAATTATACAACTTTAAATAGAAATGGTAAACTGCGTTTGAAAACTAGCAATGACTACATTTTTGGCGGAATGGTGGCGTATGAAAATATCTTCTTTTCTGCCTCTCAAAATTATTATAGAACATTGAATTTAGTTATAATTTTTACGCAGACAAAGACTAGACGAAATTTTTAAATGTAAGTTATATTAATAATAAGGGACTAAAGTTTCAAAATATGTCAAATAAATTAGATTTTTCACACATAGTAGAACTATGTTGGCTTTTAAATGCTTCAAATCTGAGTACAGACTTGAGCCAAAAATCCGTAAAAAGTGTTATATCTCTCTTAGTAAACGATCAAAACTTTTATTTTTTGCATCATTTTATACCTGTATGTGACAACTTTACTATATGTGACAATTGGAAAAAGTTAAATATAGGAGGCATATAAAAATGACTAATAAATTCCTAAAAATTTAAGAAAAGTAGAGGAAATTCGGATTAGCAATTATATTTTATAATGTGGTAATTTCATCTTATAGGCCCTATTGGTAGTATCTTTTTATGAAAATTCCAATCTTTTGATTTACAAGTACATCGCATGATTGGAAAGTAATTTTTTATTCTAATGTCCTAAAAAGATAATGACCTTGACCTGACCTTGCCTCAATATTAAACGGTCAAATTTAATCTCACTGATACCATCACTTAGTGATATTGTCCTCTTGATTCTGTGAAAATTTCATTAATTTTTAAATACAAGAAATGTGAGAAGAATCCTACCTCAATTATTCACAATTAACTCTTGTTAGTGTTCATCTGCGAAGAATTGAAACCCCGTTATCGCTAAAATAGATTACGCCACAATTATTGGCATGCCTTCGAGCAGGCAAAACGCCAAATTTTACATCAGCCACCATCTCACTCAGTGGTCAAACATCGATATTTTTTATGCCCGCTCAGCAAAACATTAGAAATATTAGACTTTTTTTCGTATAGATTTGTATAGGAACAACTTTTTAAAGGTATAACAATATCAATTTACGACTTGAAATTTAAGATATTAAATAAATTGTCCATTTATTGTTGGCAAAACAGAACAATCTACACCGTTCACAAGTTTTCGCAATGTGAAAGTAACAACCGGAACATGCTCACATCTCACGTGTGCAGAATGTAACAACTGGAACACATGCTCAAGTATCATGTCAAAAGACAAGTTCATAAACCCTGAAAATATAAACATATTGATCAATGGTGTATAATTGAATCCAATGTTTCCCATTAAAAGAAGTGCGTGTATATATATCTTGACGAAACAACACTGCACGTTTGATCTGAATAACTTTATATGGTTTCTCGGGAATGATCAAAATTCTTTAGCTGTTCCAAACACCTTGATTATATATAGGTCAGATTCAGTAATTCATGTATTTGCATCTAGGGTATGTTTAATATTGTGCATCCTTAAATGCATCAGTCTTACTAGGTTTATAGTAACTTTAAGAAAAACTGCTCCATATATATAACTTGGTCCTTCATACCAAAAATTGTTGGTCATTTGCAGTATGAAAATTAACATCTCTAGATGCATTACTTATGAAAAGTTCAGTCACCCTAGTCCTGGTAATTACTGAGGAATGGAGCTGCACCAAAATCTTAAACATGTTCAATCATCGGGAATCCGAATCAGGTCTGACAGTGTATACTGTATACATATTCACATCATTCATACATTTCAACACTGCTCCAAAATTATCTTACACATTGTCACTGTAACGTATATACATGTACCTAGATGCACCATCCACGCAAATTCGGTTTAGTAGGCTTTTTTTTTAAATTTTGAATGGATTTTTCTTCAAAATGTTCAACATGTCAGTCGTTGACTATACGATGTAGCTATGATCTAACATCAGTAGCATGTCTGGAAGTGTGTATCCTTATTTATTATCCTTAGAAAATTGCTCTAGGTAAAGCTTTTAATTACTTGGAAATGTACCAGTTCTAAAACCTTAACCTGGTTATTTTCTAGAAAATGTAGGTCAGATCCAGCTTCTGATGGGTCTTGTACAATGCAAATGCAAATAACATAGTGTAAAATCACATATTTTCGTGTGGTCAAATTTTCTCGGTTTGAGAAAAAATTATTTGTTTGTGGGGATTTAATTTTGTAGCTGGAAAATGTTTAGTAGTTATGCATATGGAATTTTCCATTTCGTGGTGGACATTAATTCTAGGGTCTCCTCATACGTCAAAAACAACGAAAATTAACCCACCAACCCCCACCACCCACGAAAATTAGTGATTTCACAGTAATCCATGCAATTTTGGTAATTAAAAGACGTAGTTTCTTGGAAATAGTCTTGATCCTATAACCATAATCTGGTCACCGATCCAGAAAACAAAGCTGATAACCTATAGCTAGATGCATCAACCATGAAAATTTCGTCTAAAGAGGAAATATGCATAATTTACGTAGTTACTTAGGAATGGACTTTAACAGGCATGTCGACTCCGGGAGTATAACATAATCTCATCTTGACTTCGTGAGGCTGAATTAAAATTCCTCTTCCACTCTTGCAATTCAGTTTCAAACTAAAAACATTGAACGCTATCTATATACTAAATAGAGAGCGTTTAAATGATTTTAAAAAAGGCATTCATGGTATTGACTTTGTGCATATCATTCATGTTGTAATTAAGGTTTAACTTGGCTTGTACAAAAAGCGAAGTAGAAAACATTTAGCTTATAAAATTGGTAACACTCTATCTCGACTTTTCCATTTGAAAACTTTATGCTTGATGCTTATGATACATTAATCATCCAATGGTTGCTTTTTTGCAGATAATGAAAAGAATCATTAGAACAAGCCCTTTTGGCAGAAATACTTTTAATTATATAAATCATATTATGAGAATATTCTCAAAATAAGATCAAAATAATGCATTGTTGTTTGATAAAATTAACTGCAAAAAGTTTACTTCATACCCTAAGAGCAATCACTATTTAAATCGCAAACGGAAATTGTGTTATTGATTGCGCAAACACTGCAGGGCCCCCAACTAAGCTCCATGCACTGCACTGGTATTACTGATCAAGCCTGCATTGAAAGTTTAGAATTATTACTTTAGACTCCTGTCCTTTGGCCATGTTTCAATGAAGTTGTAATGACGTTCAACGTCCTTTTTAAATAACATGTTATAATCGGAGGTGTTATGGACTCGGACTCTTAGGAGGCACTTTTTGTTTTATAAGAAGACACTTGATATAGCAATCAGCGTTTTCAGGACAAGATAACAAGTAGGATGTATTTCTGTAACATCAGTCCATCTCCATAAGCAATAATACAAGCCATTTAAGTCCATTTACACAGAAACGACTCTCCTGGGAAATACAGATTTTTTGCTTCCAGAGAAATCACAGTAGAAAAGTGTAACTTTGATATATATTTTCAATTCTTTGGTTTTCTTTTTTCCCTCCTGTATAAGTACCACATCAAAAGACTGCTAGATGATTAAATTTAAAATATGCGCTTGAGATTTCGATATGCTATTTAGCTACGTATGTAAGTACTAGTCTCAGAAAAAGAAACATATATATCAACAAATATAACTTCTTTTCTCTTTTTTTCTCTCTTTATTTAAACTATAAGACAAAACTGTTTTAAACAGTAATATAAGGAAACTACAACTTCATTCCTGTAAATATCGATTAATCATACAAGTGGACCTGTTAGTACGACACACATAACGATTTGGCCTTAAAAAGATCGGTACAATATACAAACCATAAGATAAAATGATACCTGAGCTTCACACTTAAGTCATATATTATGAATTTTCAATATTGATTAACATTCAATATACAACATTTCAAAACGAGTATGTGTATTCATTCCACCTGTGAACTTTTCTATCCGCCACAAAGTCACCCGCTGGAGTTTTGGTACCCTCAGGAAGAAGGGCCAAATAAATAGGTGTATCTGCCCCTTCGTCAATCGTTTTGGGGCCTTTGTGTGATGACATGTCAGTGTCTACGTATCCAGGACAACAACAATTAACGAGGATGTCTTCCCTGGGATCTTCAGACAGCTGGCGTTGCTGAATCTGTGTAAGAACGCTAACCCCACTTTGGACATTCCATAAGCACTACTTGAATAACCTTTCTTCTCGTGATCCCCATTTTTGGCTGCCTGAATGAAATCTCTCAACAAATTTGTCAGCTCTTCCGTTGTTATCTTGGCGTTTAGGAATTTAGCTTGCACCTCATGACTACATTTTCTTATAGCAAAACTACTAACCATACTTGACACATTGACTACTCTTGCATGTGGCCTTAATAGAGGAAAAAGAGCATCCGATAAAGCAAGGGTTCCAAAATAATTTGTTTTGATTGTTTCTTCCGCCTGCTCTCCAAATGGAGCTGTTGATGCTTGCTTGTATGCCATTCCTGCATTATTGACAAGAACATCCAAGCCTCCATAAGTGTTCTTGATAAAGTCCCTAAACCTTTCAATGCTAGACTTGTCAGTGATATCAAGCTGGTGAAACTTTGGAGAAAGTCCCTCATCATTCAGGCTCTTCACAGCCTTCTGACCGAGATCTTCATTTCTTGCTGTCAGAAAGACGTCACCTTTAAATTGCTTACAAAGACCTCTTACGATAGCATATCCAATCCCTTTATTGGAACCAGTTACCTAGATAAATGCATATATATAACCTTTACATGAATAAATTATAGGCTTTTTAGAAGACTTTTGTACTAAAACTGGACAAG